GCGGCCCATACATTTAGGTACATGTATACAAGATATACAATACAGTTAAAGGATTCAAAGATACATGTATTACAATATGAAAACAAATGATTATAAGAAAAAAAAATAAAATTTAAGTAACCAAAAATGAGATATCATTAATGATATTTAACAAATTAGTGTTTTTCTTTGTTTTGTAGATTTCAAGAGGTTATTGATAAAGCTTCTGAATAATAAGGCTTAATATTTTTCACGTAGATCAAAAAAAAAATGCCAGGCATATAACATTATGAAATTTATCTTCTATTTCTTGTGTGTTAAAAAATGAGCATTTGTGTTCATTTCTGGGTACCTTCCATTTTAACATTCAGGGGACATACGTTTCTGCTAATTATTCTAAATTTTCAAACATAGAAAATAGTGCATTTTTCAGAAATAAATTTTTAGAAATTATTTTTTCAAGACTGTGACAATTATAAATGCTTCCTGTTGCACTCTAATTTTAATAACGTAGTTTATTCATTTTGTTCAATATAAATTTCAAACAATTAAAAACACACACACACACATACACACTTTTTTTAAGTTAAAGAAAATACTTAATACAAAATTGAAATATGAAATAAGATGACCAAAACATACATATCAAAGTACTCAGAAGTACAGAGAGCCGGGCTCATTTACAGAATAGTGAACCAAGACCGTTTTACATGAAACATACATGCTCATTGTGGTAACAGATAAACAACAAGAAAACATTGATGTAACCATCAATTGTCGCCCGGGAAATAAATAAAGTAAACAATGGAAATGAGTCTTGATCATCAAACCGCTTCGATATGTGTGAAAAAGGCATGTGTCTAAATGATGGAGTCGATAGTAGAGAATATTTTGAAAACTTATAGTCAGATGAAAATCGAACAAAAACGATACCCTTTTAAATTTTATCAATTCCTCAAGTAAATGTTGGTTACATAAAATATAATTTGAAACCAGACACATGCATCACCTATTTTCAAAAATGTCTTTCACTTTAAGATAATAAAACACGAACTGTGTAAAGTACATTTTTACGTTTTTATGCGATAAGTAAAATTCGATGTTCTAAAAACAGGGACCTGTCGTTTTTTCGATAGTAAATGATAAGCAACTTTATATATTAAATATGAAAAACATATATATTTTTACAGATTCACTTTATGGAAGTAAATATATTGTGTATCTCGTAATTTATAAAGGGAAAGAACATTCTGATTAACAATCTTTTTAATGTTTAGAAAACCTTTAATTCTGAATAACTTCTCCCACCTCAATTCCCATATACCAACACTTAAACTTATATGTATAGAGCAGCCCGGTCCTCCGGGCTGCAACAAGTTCAGACACTGGAAGAATATGTAACACAAAAATACATTGCATATAGTATAAATTAAAAATGTTTAAAAAAATTAAATAAAACGTAGTTTGAATTTAACATTTTTTTTTTATTGTTTCGGGTCTTATACTACTTTAATACATAAGTAAATGAACATTGATGCAGAAGGTCAAACGTTTATGTACAGATGAGTCCTCAGCGGGGAGTTTTGCATCAAGGTGTACATCGGGTCACGTGCTCCTCGCATTAGTGTTAGCCTGGTAACACAACCTTTATTTATAGAATGTGACGCAGACAGGGAGACCTGATGAAAACCTTTCGCATATTTCTAACAAATAATTCATCGAAGAAGAATGGAGAAAGTATATTACCATTAATGTTTTGTTTTGTTTTATTTAGAGAAATTCTTAGTTAAGTTAAATTTGTTTAGTTTAGTGTTTGTATTGCCTCAAAGGTGGTTGAGCTTACGTACTATATTCTTACTCGTTAGATTTGGCGGTGAGGAAGCAGCATTTCCGGTTGAACACCGTAACAAAAGCCGGCTATTGCTCTATGAGCAATGAGCCCGGCTAAAAATGACGGCGCATTACTGTCCAGTCCAAATCTCTCTTCGCCAAGAGGTTTCCTATACGTATAGATCGATCGAGTTACACTGTACTACCAACAAAAAAAAATCACAGGTATGCTCTCAAATGGTCCTGTCTCTGACAACTTTTTTTCTGGCATCGATATAAGTATTGAGATCAGATAACTAATCAATCATAATATTTTCAAAATCGTACAACAAATCTATCATAATAATGAAAACAAAAAATACTTATTCCTGAGCGCAAATTTTATATTTCATTTTTTTTATCCAATACATTTATAGATAATTTACAAAAAGTAAGCAAGACACAAAAAAGAGGGAAAAAATAATCCAGAGAGAGGGGAAGATCAGCACCCAGATTCCTTATCAAACTGCTTCCGAATCTCTTTCCTTGGTGGAGGATATATCTTTTCCTGTAAATTCTTGCTGACATTAAAACACTGTCGAACAGGATAATCCATAAATTGAAGCCTCCATCAATTTGACTTTCATACTTAAACAAAATTGCCTTCTCTTTATGAGAGAAATGGTTTGTTAAGTTTTTTCAATATCTTACAAACATATAGCGGCCGTACACACAAATTATTAAAAAAAAAAATCCTGACCGGAAACTTTTGTTTTTGTTGTTTTTTTTTTTTTTTTTTTTTTTTTTTTTTTTTTTTTTTTTAAGATAGGGTTTATGCCTTTATTTATTTATTTTTTTTTTTACTAATGGAACATTCTTTTTCTTTCTAAAATTCCATATACTGAGTAATCTGTTTGTTGAACAGAGAGATAAACACATGCAGATAAACGCGTTAATCCTTCCAACTTTGTTGATGAAGAAAAATATGCAAGTATTGATCATGTTCATAATTAAACATCTTACCATTTTACTATGAATGTCAACTTTGGAATAGAAATTTCATCCAGACACTTTTATCGAATAAATAGTAATCAAGTAAATACACCGTACAATGTATACGTATGTACATGTACTAGAAATAGTTCACTTTCAATACAATGTACACTTTGCATGTAATGTGCACCAAGTTTCAAAAGCTCTTTACTGTTATTCTGCCAATACCGTCATTTCCTTTTATTTCCATCGTTAGCTGCTAAACCGTTTTTGTTCCGAATTTTAGAATGATCAAAGTTAAGGACAGCTTCAGCAAATGAAATGACAGTCGGTGCTTGCAATTTTCTAGAGACACTGGTTCTGTTACTACTCCCAGATGATACACCGCTTTGGAGGTAAAAATCAAACTTCAAGGAATTTAAATTGTGCGGTTCTGTTGGCTGTCTGCTCCAGTTTTCGCCCTCCGAATCAGATGGTTGGCAGCTATCAGTATACAAAACCAATGGACCTTTTCTTGTGGTGAACGTCTTTGGAAGAATCAACGGATACTTGTTTCTATTGATGGTTAAATCTGAAACATCCGAAACTTTATTCGGAGAATTTCTTCGACGTCTCTCATGAGGAATACGGCTAGAATGTCTGCTTCTGTCGCGTTCAGTAGTGATTTCAACTCTTTCGCCGTACCCCGTGGACCTTATTTCTGCCAGACCTTTACTTAGGTTAGAAAGCAACATGTCTGTTTATTCTGTATCGGTCAACGAAATGACACTCCAAGAAATGGCAGCATATTCACTATCTCTGATTATGTCTCTTATTTGAACGTGAGTTATACAAAAGAGGAAACACACTCTTAATCTCCGTAAATCCTAAAGATTAACAAAAAGGACTCCCGTGTTTTATTTCACTGAAAAATCGAAAAGATGAAAATTTTCAAACCACGCGGTAATATGGCCATGAACAAAAATGTCTGTCACAACCGAATTTTAAATTTGATGTCAATGATTTGAAATGCGAATTAAATAGATGTACTGAAATCCTTTAATATCTGACCATTGTGTACGTAAAGGTGAATAATGCACTGTATGGCTAACGAAATCTCAGGAAAAGTTCAACAGTGAACGAACAAGAAAATAACTTTTGCGCACGGGAAACAAATTCATATACATATAATGTAAAAAGTATTTGTTTTTAATTTGTCAAGATAAACAAGAACGGACAATCGTTTATACTCGTACGTAAACAAGCCTCTAGTAACCACTTTGCAGGTAATGTAATGTAACACAATTGGTTCCTCCTTTGTTGGAATTCCAGTCTCAAGTTCATGGGAATAACGCGTTAAAATCCAACTACCGCAATTTAAAAAGAGAAACTTTACCCCAAAGAAAGTTTATTTCGCTTTCCAGTGTCTCTCAGCAACCCAGTGAATGTCCTCTTCTTCCAAGAGTCACATCGAAAGTAAAATCTCTTTGAGATGACAGGTTAAGAAAACAAATTGATGCCTTGCATATGTAAACCTAGCGACCAAGACATAACCAAAGAGAATAAAATGCAATAAAAACAACGAGATTTCATGTATCCACACAGTCATTTAGTAGAGAAACGGATACATTAAAGGCAGCCCGACCTTTATCAGAATGTTACATCTTTAAAGAGTTAGGAATTCCACTCTCCCTATATCACTGATGAAAGGACAAGTTGTTAAAATGTTTTATGTATTTATTCAATCTGTATATTTAATATTTTAGATGCTTACTTTTAAGAAATTTACATATCAGAATGAATGAGGGAGAGAGATAGTCATATTATAGTGAATTCATTATACATGTAATTATATGGTCTGTAAGGTATTGATTGGTTATCCTCTGTTAATTACATTTTAATTCAATGTAATATGCAAACATCGACTTTATAGCCAATTTTATGATTTGTACATGTAAATTGCACCAGACTAGCAGTTTATCTGTCATATTTTCAAATCAATTGCATAGTATTCCAGAATTGCTTGAAGCGGAAAAAAGGAGAGAAAACCAAATTTGATGCTGAATTCAGTTTAATTTCTTTTCATTTCTTTCATCATTTCCCGCAAATAACAAATGAATGAAACTTCAAATATATATATATATATATATATATATATATATATATATATATATATATATATATATATATATATATATATATATATATATATTCTGAAAGTGAACATGACTATGGTCAGATTGCCGGGATTTATCCAAATCCTTTAAGAGAAAACGAATGTCTTTGTGTTTCTCCAATGGGTGGTAAGAAAGTTTGTGAGTTCGAACTAGCACTTGATCTATGACTGCTTGGTCTCCTTGGTGATCCGGAAGTTTTCTTCACGGTTCGTCCCGCCAAGCGAAGGTTGAATTCTGGAATTCCAAAAGTCAGACCGAGACTTTCAACGGTGTACCTCTCTGAAATGAAACGTAAAAATAAATGGTCTTTGTTATATATATATATATACATATATATATATATATATATATATATATATATATATATATATATATATATATATATATATATATATATATGCATTTCTTTTCTAAATGTATCACAATATGCTTTTAATCTGTCATATTGTAAATTAACCTGATGGCAGTGTATGCATTAAAAAAGTTCTCTGTATCGATCGATATATGTGAACATGCATATAAATAGGATCACCTCAAATTAAGTGTCGATAAACATTTTCAATTTTGAAATTGTTCATAATAATAAATTATTATTATTATTTACAATTTCAGAATTGCAAATGTTTCTATTATTTTATCATATTATTAATTGAAACATGATTCCTAAAATAAGTTCCAAACGAATTATCCCAGTGACCAAGTAATGTCCTCTTCATCTGATGAAAATAAATTAATCCAAGACATGAAGAAGTGTTGCAACAAAGATTGAAGTTTCCGCGTGTTACAGACAAAAAAAAAAGTGATTTTCCTCCAAAGTAATCAGAAATTCTTAAGTTGTACTCACCTTCATGATGGTGTTCGATGTCCCCATTCTTATTCCAGGCATCTTTGCGAACAGTACTTCCTTTCATTGCGCGTTTCATGTACAAACTAGAAAATCCTTCCGCGTGTCTTCTGGTGGCAGCCAAAATGAAAGATCGACGACTGTCTGATGTTTTCGGTATCTTCTTTGGTTGTTTGAATGTTTGTACTGGCGATTCACATTTTACGGACCTTTCCTCTGGGAGTTTCTCTTTCGTGTGAAGAACTTTTTCCATTGGTTCAATTTTCTCTGAATCTACCAATGAAATTTTATTTACGAGGCTCGGAAGTGTGTTACCGTTACTCCATACGTTTTGAGGGATTTGGTCGTTTTTCGTTGTTTTGTTATTGCACTCTTCAGAAATTTGAGATCTATCAACTGTTTTGCTTTCCTTTGAACTTTGTTTCACTTTAGGTACCCCGTTATCTTTTACACTACTTGGTGCGTTCACTCCTGGATTTGCAGGGTGCAGTTTGGTGGGTTCCAGCATACCTTGTTCTATCTTTTGTTGTTAAAGTCCTGATCCCTTTACACCATTTACGGACAGTCTTCTACTAGATTTAGATGGCTCTGTCTGATCCATTGATTTTTCCCTTTGCAAACGGTCGCTTTTTCTGTCCCCTGTTTGCTGTCTTGTACTTTCAATTTTTAGTGTCGAATTTTCCCTAGTCGTCGATTCACCAGAATCGGTCAAACATCCAGGACGTTTATCTCGAGAAAACTTGTCATAAAACTCGTGAGAGTAGAGTACAGACATTCGGATGTTGTCTTGGTGATTGACCTTTGTCCCCAGAGTTTGACAAATAGAACACTTTTCCCGACTATCACTTTCCCTGTCCCTCTGCTGTTCAGTATTGCGTTTTACGTCATTCATGTCTTTGTCATAAACGCCAATTTTGGAACACCCGCTACATAGAATTCCACGAGGAAAACTTACATTTTGCAAAGCTAAAGACGCCAAGTGGTCTTGCAAATCCCCGTCTTTTTGTTGAGACACTTCTTTTGCCTCCTCGTCGTCATCGTAGCATTCAACGTCACTTCCTTGGTTACCGTCCTCTGTCTCAAGCACCTGTTGACCAACTCCTTTTCTTTTGTTTCTGTAATTCTTTCGCTCTTCACGTAATTTAACTTTGCCGATGCCTTTTGTTTTACGTTTAATTTGGTCGTTCCTCATAATTTACTTAGAGCTTGTTTTATGTATACATTGTGCCATTAATCAATAGTAAATATTTGGTTTTATGATTACGTTCGTCTGTCTTCAACAGCAGAACAAATAAAGCCAAAATCCTGGAGTCTGCAAGGAAGGGGAATACACTAAATTAACACCATGCTTGGAACGTGCATTTAAATCAGGGTATAATATATCAACAAATATAATGAAAGACCTTTTGCTGAAGTATACACTGACAAAATAAACGGCAATTACAGCTTAAACACAATTAAATCGATGGATTCTGCTTTTACAAATAATAGAAAATCGAAACTTGCAATATAATCACATCCGATGGATGTAGATATTCAATTATTATTGGTTAACAAATTATTGAATTACATGAACTTCCTCAATTAAAGAAGAAAATGAACCATTTTCTAAAACGCGACATTTGCCCCTTTGAAATTTGATAGGCGAGTTAAATCACTTTGTAATATTTCAAACGAAATTTTTCCTTGCAAATTTTGAAACAAATAAACAATTATACTCTCTTGTATTCAAAATTACAATTTAAGTCAGTCTAAAGATTGGTTTTACATCTTAGGGCAATCAGTTAACATTTAATTGTTTCATCAATAATTGAGAAAATCGCCGCCGCTTCCATTCCAAGAAACAAGACCACCAAACATATATGTGCAATGGTCCGAGTTTATCAATTATTATTTACAATAATTGTAAAGAAACCCTAATTTAAACACGAGTTAATAATTCTATATAAACGTTTGAAGAAGGTTGAGAGAGAGATTTACATTTACTTCCCAAAATAAATATAACAAAGAGGAACATAAAGATTTTTCAATAAAAAAAAAACTTACCTTTAAATTAAATCAATAGCGAATTAAGGATATACTCTTGTCAATAAAAAAGGGCGATCGACTTAATAACAGACATGAATGTTGGAGAAACAATCAACTCTAAGATAAGAATTTATCAATACCGCGGGAAGGCAATAAGATGAAATCGTCTTAATATCGCCTTCCTACCTTAATCAGAGACCAGAAACTTCTAAAGACTACGGCCATGGTATCGTAATGAAATTCTCACAATCATTCCAGACAACCTGGTTATGACCTTGTGAAGAAAGGAGAGTTTTGACCCCCTAGCAAAGACAGAATAGGAAACATGTAAAGTATATAGGGTGGGGGAACAATTGAATGCAGACTGTGTACAATGTACACAAAGATCCAATAAACGTGTCAACAGGGAAAACAATGCCAGTATATACCCCTCTATTTCCCTACAATCATTCTCGTGGCTTTTAAATCACAATGGTTTTGTTATATCCCAAAAATGCATTCAATAAGGTTATTTAACAGGTTAAAATATATGTCAAAAAGCAAATAAAAGTCCTTGTCGGAGTTCATTATATTATGTTAGCAGATATCCTATAGAAAGCTGTCTTTCCACTGGATTGACAGAATTCTCTACAATTTGTACAAAATTATGTAGGGGTGTGCGAATCGTACCATCAACCCCAACATTTCAAGTGATCAAGTATTAACTGATTTGACATTTTTGAAAAAGAAATGATTTTTAATATACTTACATATTGCTTTGTGTCAGTTTGAATTCAAATTCCTATACATTTTGCAATTAGTAGTAAATGTATCGTTGATATACAAACAAGCTTTTAAAGTAGATTATGAATTAAATTTTTAAATGATCGCCAATGCGTCAATAGTTAAAATGCAAACATTGCAGGGGTATGCCAAGTTGAAAAATATTTGTAAAATGTCTCGGAAGTCAATACAGATTTTTTTTCTTTCTTGAGATTAAATCTATTCTATTTTCCCCCAATAAATCAATAAAAAGTATATCAAAATAATGATGGTGTTTTCAATTTGAAAGTTGACGAATGTATCACTTGAGACTTTTCACCGAGGCTATTGTAATGAAGCGGGTTAACACTTTATGAAAAATATGCCAAATCTGACATCAGATCTTTTATCCTTTGAACCTTTTTAAATCGAAATAAAAGCTTGTAAGAATATTACAAACTGTCTAGTGAAGTCATCATTGCTTAAAGTTAAAGTAATGCAGATTGATTGCCATATTACATCTCCATGATGATGTACATACCTAGAATTTCAAAGAAATCTTAAAGTCTGTTAATGTTCAGGTATAATAACTCGTTTTACGACTATGAAGATTCCCAAAGAGCTAACACAAGATCGTGCAAAGATTGTTCAATGTAAATGTAGTGAACTTAAACATTACATTTAGAAATTATGTTATGACATAAAACAAAGTTTAAGAAGTCTGGGCATTGACACTTTATAGCTAATTTTCACATTGGATGAATATGCACAATAAAAGTGGACATTTGATATTATCGCAATGACACAGAGCTTTTATTATTTGTATTGTTTATTTAAAAAGAACAACATATTTTAGATCTTATTTAAAACTACATCAAATGTGTAAAATTCGTTTATCTTGTAAACTATTTACATAATAAATTTAATCTTTATATAGATATTTTATAAACTTTATTTAAATCAAGAAAATAATGAAAGACACTTACTTGTATATACATCCAGCATGTAATTCTAGGCACACACTCACTGATCGACTCTTTGTAAAGTGTCATTGAAATTAAAAATAAAACGATTGCATAAAATTACGACTGGTCATTTATCCGCCATTCAAGATAAAGAATAGTAAGGGGGTAAATTAAAAGACGTTCTATGAAAAAATCAGCTGACGTTAAATACCCGTAAAACAGATTATCCAATAATGATAAATAAAGTAGAAAACTTTTAAGCACATGGTCCTGACAACTTTCAATAATCGTTATGTCACAGTGAATTTTACATCGACCGTTTAATTAATTTCTACGGTAAAAATTATGATGGCTTAATGGATTTTCTATTTACACCGTATAGTCTCGACGCATATTTTGCATTGCATTAAGCACTTCTCATTGAAAGAAGTGCGAGTCCATTTAAGTTGAACGTCTGTGACCAACCATTGATCTTTTGTAATAGCGCCACGGGAATAATGTATCCATTAATACCTCAATCTGATATACTCGGCAGGTATTCTATATATATCCATCGTGTCTAAAGACTTATATATTGAGGGATCTTAAAAAGCATTTTATTTTCGACGGAATTCATTATTGGAAACATTGAGCGAGATTTGATTAGATGCGGGGGCTTATAAATAATTCAATGTAATGAAAAATGGTCGTTGATAAATTCTTTATAAACCTCATGTGCTCAGGAAAAAGGCAGAAAGTGAAATTGATTAGATATATGCTTACAGGTTAAAAAAAAAGACTTCATCTATACGTTTATCGGAAATATTCTCAATGTTATTCTAAGCAATGCAATCACCGGGCTGAATACACGCTAATGTGATAAATCATCTATAAATTCATAGTGCATTGTATAGTTTTTGCTCGGAGATAAATCCAGTAAACTTAATTTTTAACTGATATTAGAAGGTCTAGTTCAATTTCCTTAATATTAAAAGCTATAGTTATATACTTCTTTGAATATTTTTGGTATAATGTAATGTCTACATAAATCGTATATAAATCACCTTGTATTGTTACAGAAAAGAGAAGCTCGGGAGATTGCATGATTTTGTAGGCGAATGTTTAAGTGTATGTTTTTAATTAATTTACTATATTAATGCAACTACCACTGAAAAGAACTAGTTCGTTTTCCCATACAGAATCTCCAGAAACACTCGAATGGGGAATCTTGTAAAAAATTACGATAGCCATACGACATTTCTATGGCAACCTGATCGAGTTACCCTGCAACTTAAATCAAGTCTCCACACATGCACATGAATGCTACGGATAAGATAGTACGTATATAGAACAATGAAAATATGCACCAGTACATGACAAAACGAATGCTAATACAGGATTCTATGTCTCACAACATCATCTCTAACCAAACATATATATATATATATATATATATATATATATATATATATATATATATATATATATATATATATATATATATATATATATATATATATGACCATTAAAGTAAGTTTTCCTCTGTGAATGAGAAAATGGTCGCAGAATATTTGCAAAACCTTACCTGAGTCCCGACACTTCCGATGTTGTGTTACCTGAAGGAGATCACATATGACCTCGCCGTCCTCTAGTTGATAATATACCTATAGGTATTTAAACCATTTATCTCTCATTGTATGTGTCCGTACTTATTTTGTCCGCGCAAATAAAGTGTAAACAAAAATTCATGTTGTACAACAAAGATTAAGATCTCTGATACGATATAAAATGTAACGCGGATATGTTGAAAAACATGTTTGTTTTAGAAATGAAAATCGTGAGAATATACTTCAAAGACTTGGACATAAAAAGATTACAATGGTTTATGATGTTTGCATTCTACTCTATGATCTTCCAGAATTCTCAAACGACACCGCACACTTGTCGTTATACGTTAGGTCAACAGGTGACATCTACCTAACATAAATACGAGTAAAGAGGGGTAAAAATCTTTAATGATCCCTAGACGATTTCCCGTTTGTTGTTACAGCTCGTGAGTAAGCGACAAAGGAAAGCCCCTTGATAATAGAGGTGACGCTGAAAAGATTATGTTAAGGCAAATGAAAAGTAATGTTTTTAAAATTCTCGCACATTCAAACTGAATTTAATCATATCGCACAAAATTGCTTGATATAAATACGCTTCAATTTCAAAGCTTTTAATTTGCACAATTATGCATAAAATATGGAGATAACAAATAGTATTGAAACTCAAAAGTCCATTCAAACAATAGAGATCAGGAGCAGAGTAAACACGGACCTATAAAAACTTCAGAGGTGTGATCAGGTGGCATGGAGGAGTGAGCATCCCCAGCCGACCGATCATACCTGCCCTGTGCTCCTTGAGTTGTCATGCTCTGGGGGGAAAACCGGAAAATCCATAGACAATTCAATGTGTAAATAATGGCCTAACAATTAGTATGAAAAACGTCAGTCAGCATTTGACTTAATGATAGTTCGATACAATGACCTTGTTTGCTCAAACAATCTTACGTTAGTTCGAATGTTGATTGACGTGGTTAAGCCATTATTTTCATTATGAATTGTCTACGAATTTCTCCGTTTACCCAGTCATGATAAGGGGCACACAGCGGTCGACAGAGAATGCTTCCTCCTCTATGGCGCGCGATCCCATCTCTGATATTTTCAGAGATCTGTGTTTGCTCTGCTCACAATTTGTCTTGTTAAATTGGACCTTTGAGCATGATTACTGCTTGTTATCTTCACATTTCATTGAGAGCTTCTTGTTCTTATTTTCCGTTCTTTCTGTGGAGATGGATACTTGTGAAAAAAGTGGAAGAAGTTTGCTGCAAAGCGGTACAGAGCAATAAGCCGCGGAGCTCGTTTTCGTTTGGCCATCCATTTTCAGCATCTGCTCGCATATGCGCTTTTTGTCAGGTCAGCCTCGTTTTGATAACGAAATTTGGCACGTGCCTGAGTAAAGCCTATTTCAAAGCAATAATTATAGTCAAAAAAGTAAAAAAAAAAAAAAAAAAAAGCTATCAATTGCGGTAAAAGACTGTTATAAAATAACTTGACAAAACAATTGTAATCTAGTATATCAAAACTCAAAAGCTATTTAAATCGTTTATACATACATGTATGTACATGAACTTTGTTAATTATACCACTACCTGAAATCTTAACAGTTAAGTATCAAAAGCAGTTCCGAATTAGCCAATCTTCTTTTAGAAGAAATATGAATTACTATTTTCTCACGAAGATGATACACTGTATATTCATGCGCAATAGAAATATCTTTTTACAATTACTGACCAACTTTCTTAGCCACAATACCCATAAACATAAAATATACCAATCGATTGTAAAATAACAATAAATTGACCCTTTCGTCAGGCTCTGAGCCATTTAATGTTGATCAAGTGAATTAAAAGCAGTTCCATATTTTGGTTCCTGTACTGGCATATGAAAAAAAACCCTTATATACAAATCATTTTAAAAGTTCTTTTTAAATAATCGAAAGGAAATTCGAAGTGTTAAAATGCATTCAACATAATAATGCTATTTTACCATACAAAATTGATCATTGTTAAATTTTCAGTTGAAGAAACGTTCGTATAATGTGTCCAGCTGGCTTGCTTTTTATCCTACATTAAATAGATTTGCACTATATGCCTAATAATTAACGTATAGTGCATGTAATTTCGTCAGAATTGATGGGGCTATAGAGGTAAGTCGGCGAGTGACAGTTATTTTGCTAATAAAGGAATCGTCATATCATGTTTATCGAAACTCCATAGAATAAAACCGGTATGAAAATAACTAGAGAGGAAATGAAAATATCTATAATCAAATATGTGCAAATAATCATCATAGGAATTCGAATATTACATTTATGTAACACATATGAAATATGAAGATACCGATTAATAATCAAGCTCAAAAGTCCATTGAAACAATACAGATTGGAAGCAGAGCAAACAAGGACCTCTGAAAACATCAGAGGTAGGATCAGGTGCCATAGAGGATTAAGCATCCGCTGTCGACCGGTCAAAGCCGTCGTATGCCCCTTATCATGATTGGGTAGACAGAAAAATTTGTAGACAATTCAGTGTGAAAATAATTGCCTAGCAATTTGTATGAAAACATTTGACTTAACGGCAGATTGTATCTGTTAACAAGGTAATTGTGTCGACCATACGATTTGCAAAATATTTACTTTAAACGAGACTTTCATAAACTTATTCGACAATAGCTCTCCTCGTACTAGACATTGTTCGTAGAAGTTGCTCTTGCATATCGAATCAACTGGAATACATAAAATCCATACATATGCAATGATAATGGTACGTTGCTACATAAACAAGGGAAGCTGACGAAAGAAAAATTGTTGCAACAAACTAAGAGGGATTATGCTATCATGCTATTAGTCCAGTTCCATCCTCTGCTTTTTCTCCCTGTGTCTAATGTCTACCTTTCCCTCTTCCTTTCCCTCTACCCCCCCCCCCCCTTCCCACAATTACATGTTAATATATAATCATTACTATTTTGCTTAGGATATGTTTGTTTTAATAACATCATGATAAGTATTTCATTAACTTATTTTTACTAATAGATGCAAGATTGTGTTCTATTATTGCGTAGGCGAGATAAAAAATTAGCATATCACCATTTAGCATTGACTGTGTAAAATTAGTATAATAGTGAAAATTGTAAATGCGTATTTCATTGTTAAGGTTTAATTCACAAATTGATTTTAATTTACATGAGCAACATTCAACAAGCTACATTACACCAGTCTCTCTCTAGGTGGGCATGGTATACTTAGGTAATCAACATCACAAAGGCAAGCGTGCAGTGTTTCTTTTGGCATAAAGATTGGTGACACTAGATGCTAGCCAGAACATCAATGATAACATATCCAGTGTCGATAGGAAGTTGGGGATGTTCCTCTTGCAATTGCTTTTCGGAAGTCTGTGGAACCTGTTCAGACACTACACTATTTGCATGTGAATCATTTCCCTCTTTGGAATTACATGTAGTTTTGTCCTTATATTCAAGAAAATAATTTTGGTTTTCAGTATCCGTGACATACATTTTACTAATAAAATTCGAAATGTCACTTTCAGAAGATCCTCCCGAAGGTATATCCTTTGACCTTTCCACATTGCAATCTACTTCTCCCTCAACGAATCCAGCGTTATCTAATCCTTCTTTTCTCTGTTCTCGTTGTGTTTTTGCCTCATTTTCAACAATGGCTTGATCAATGCTGACTTCTCGGTAGTATTTCTCTGCCGCTTTGTGAACTGATTCAGTTGAACGTTTGTCGTTTTCCCCAAGTGTGGAGTAGACGCCACTGTCAGTCTTCTCGACATTGGTTTTCAAACTTGAGGGTTTTTTCGGAGAGGATACGTTTAGAGAAGGCTGATTAAAGGCCCAGCTTGTCGCCCTGGACTCGGCCGGTATATATGTGGATTTAAGGTACCGACTAAAATAGAAATATAAACCGTAAAAAAAAAACCGTAAAAATAAAAGTTAAGATTATATGCTTTAGAATGAGGTTAACTTCGCATTAATCGATCCTACAAATTAAGCAGCAATAAATATTTCACTGTACAATATTTAGTTGTAAGGATGACTCTGTAAAAAGCATAACAGAATTTGTTAATGAACGTTGCTAACATGAGTGTAATTAGGTACGATGTCTTAATTGAGCTGCGAGCAGAATTTTAACGTGTGACTTCTATAAAGTAATGCATTCAAAGAAAAAGATCTTTGCAGATCAAGTGCGATATAATGTTACAATTAAAAATAAAAGTGTCCCCAGAAAGCGATTATGTTTAGATATTGCTTGTAAACAATAATAAAAAGCTTGGATCAAGATTCAAAGCTCATCAGCTTCACCATTTTGACTTGTAAACATGTTTTCTTGAAACAGAAAACCTAAAGATGTATAATACACTCATCATTTTTGTTTGATGAGAAATAATTGTAGAAATGTACGTTTTTATTTTCCAAGCAAGTTGAACCGGTCATAAATTATGATATTATAGACAGCATGTCTGTTACAAGCTGTTACAAGCTTTTCAAATCTTGAAACAATTTCTTGCATATTTCCCCCTAAATATTTGACGAACAGGTATTTAGACTGACCTTCGTCTGACCTTAAGGATGATGACGGCGACGACAATGAGGACGAATATTATAATACTGAGAGGTGTGATTATCTCCCCTGCAAAAGAAGAAGAAAATCTATACATTTGCAGTAATATGCATCATTTTAAAAACAATATAACTCTTGAACTATAAAGATTGATAAATGTAATTATGCTGATGATTGAAATAAATATCCAATAGTTAGCTGTTACCCACATACACGGAAAGTGGGCCAGTTGCCTGTTTTCAATGTGCTGTGTTTCTGTTACGGTCGTCCCTGTATAATTGTACGATGTGGAAACCTCTTTGTCTTCCGATTTCGTAATTAAAGCTGTTCCGGTGAAGTTTATCGTATTTATTGTAAATCCATTGTGAATTCCAGTAGATGATAAATCATCTTCTGTTTGAGATGAAACTATATTGGTGGTGGTGGTTGTGGTGGTGGTGACTGCAGGGGGGTGTTCTGTTACTATTGTGGTTTGCACCGTGGTAGAAGGTAATGATGGATGATTGCAAACAACAATAATAGATCCGGGAATTCTCTCAAGTCCACTGACTTGATCTGTCAAATAAAAGAAAATGTAAACCATCGATTTACAATAATACAAAATACTTAGTAATTATATAATATATGACCTTTAATTAGTATTTCGCGTGTTCTCAATTTGTACCAAAATAAAATGCAATATGACCAAAACATTCATTTAAATTTCATTCATATTTATCTCAAAACGGAAGTTAATACACTGACATCTCATATCAAATCATCACTAACAATTAAGTACAATTTTATTTTCAATGTAACAACTTACAAGAGCGTAACAAGTAGCAATATTTTGAATCAAATGTTTCCCTTTCCCGAAATATCTGAACCGTGACGGAATCCCCCGGCGTTACAGTCAATGATTCCGCACCCTGCAGGCATCGGATTGTGGACGTAGTCCGATGATTTATCGTTATAACAGAACCACATCCGTAGTAACCCGGCGAAAAGACGTAATTAAATTCCAGACGATTTCCGGATGTAACGTATACGCTGCAGTCGCAAGAGGGCGCTCCAGAGGTTTCAAATGGAGAAAAGTCAAGCATTACCATTTCGCCAGAAGTATGTCCAGGTACACATATTTGCGAGACTGAAATATAAGAAAAAGAAGATAATTTTTTTTTATATAAATAACTTCACAGACACCCCTATCCAAATATTACGCTAGATTCTTTATGCATAGACCAACAATCACTATTTAATAAAAGAAGTTAGTATTATGTTTAATAGCATTGGTACGACTCGTCCCTCGTATAAGAATACTTAGTTTATATATAATTGGTTCAAATTAAAAAAAAAAAAAACACCGACGGAGGCAGACATGTGAAACTGCGCAACCACGACAAAATTCCTGCCATGAAATAATTGTGGTTTAGTTTCATTAGGAATGAAACGGAATTACTGAATTTTTTGTTGAATATTATACGAGCAATTTATTTTTAAGCACTATCAAGGTTTCTTTTTTCATATATATGTTGGAACACGATCCGCTTTCCTAAAAAATATTAATATTAAATTGGTAATCACTATGATCACAAGGAAAGGAAAAACTTTCCAGTTGACCTATACAAAATACGATTTTTTTCTCTAAATATTAATCTTAAGTCAGTCAAATGATCAGAAAAATGATTTCAAGGGTTTTTCTGTGTAAAGGTCAACAGATCTTTAATCGAATCCGATTTTTAAAAAAAATATAAAAGGAATAATTAACATTATGCATTAAAAATGTACTTACTATTCATGTAATTCGACGAACAGGATTTTTGTGCTAAAAAGAAGACGACAGTTATAAATGAACATTGCAGTGGAAAATAACTTGATTGTTCGATAATGGAATAAATGCATGAACGTTTAAAGAAAAAACTTCTTATATTCAAATACAAATGTTTTCGAAAAAAAAGTTATTTTACCTACGTAGATAAAACTTACCGGATCCTATATAAAATGATACAAATATATACAAAAATCCTACCACAGCAAAAACTTCCATCATTATCCGTGTTCAAGTAAATTCAGAGCCATGCAGGTAAGTGCGCGATACCTGCACGATCTCCGGAAAAGAAACATGTAATTAACAAAACAATCAAGGGACCACGACACGGACATTCTGTGAAGACAGAACGAGATCATCACTTTAACTATGTATTAACACGTCTCGTTATGGCTTCACGGGACAGTGCGATCTTCTATGATGGTCGTTTAATGTTCTTTATTGTTCAGGAAACACCCTTCCACATTACTCGTGGCGTGAGGCATGTCATTACAAAAAGAAAACAACATTATTGCGTATTGTTTGCGGTGCACATTATATAACGTAACATAGCAATATAAGGAATTGTTTGGAGTAACATGATTGTTCTAATGCACTTCAAATACCTATTTTTCTGAACGAATTAAAGTATGTTATGCAATTTGTCAAAATTACGTCTGGACGTTCACCGACAACTTGCTGCCAAATTAAAATTCTTCTGAAAAGGTACATCAATTAACATCAATGAACTTAAGCAAAAATGAAGTAAAATATCATACAATATCAATCCCCCTATAAAGCTCTCTGAATGAGTTAAATTAAGCTATTTTTTTCATAGATTCATATGAAACTGGGTTCATTGCTTACATCCTTTGAATATTATCTCCTTTATTTCTTATGAAATTCACGTCGTTTAAATCACAAGTTTACGTTGACGCCGATAAGCAAGACACCTGTGTAAATTTCTTGAGCAGTGGCTCTTCCATCAATGAAGCATACAATGAAGCATACAATGAAATGCATATCAATAATACAATATTTAACATACATAATCCTACTTTATATTATTATTTATACAGACAAAAATGTAAAAAAAAAAAAAAATAAAAAAAAAAAATAAAATGTCTTTCTTTGTTTGTTAGTAGGGAAATTAACGTTGCAGCTATTGCAGAAAAAATTACATTATCCGCTAACGCTGGTTGTGTATTTTTCTGCAACATTAATTAACTCGCATTCTAACAGCCAAAGAAAGCATTTTGTATACAGGGTGTTTCAGAAAACGTGCAACCATTTTGATTGATTACATTTTACTGGTGTTTCATCCAATACTATCTGCCAACATATCAAATTAAAAGGCTTAATTTCAAAATTTATTCTCATAAAAATAAAATTAATCTGGCAAATAGATAATGAGCTACGAAAGAAAAAAGAAAACTTCACTTATTTCACTTATTTACAAAATATGTTCTAAATGGCGTCATTTATGCTGAATGAATAAATCTATCTGATGCAAGGAAGTTCTCATGCATTACTAGTACAAAGAGTCTGTTTGTAATGAGTCTGGTCTCTTTCTTAAGTCATGTGTTTTTGGGGGGTTTGTTTTATAAACTGTGATTTTTAAATGTCCCCACAGATAAAAGTCAAGAGAGGTTTAAGCTAGATGAGTGTGGAGACCAAATGTTCTTGGATTTGAAATAGTTGAATCGACCTCCAAACATTTGTTCTAACCAGTCCAAGTTGTAAGATTCAAATCATATTTCAGCATCCGATATAACATGCTTAATGTAACTGTGAATTAAATGTAGGACACATTGTTTAGAAGAAAAATTTATTCATAACACGCGCAAAACAGACTTCCTTTCAACATTTGACATTACCAAGAACGGAAACTTTCTAGGGGAGATGTCTTTGTGTGTCCTACTTGAATTGCCTCCAGACGTGTAGGTGTGCCGGAGAAATGGCGATAGATCTCGACATGTATGTACCTTCCGTATCCTATTCTTATCTGCAATAATTTTAAATATTTTTCACAAATAATCACAATAATTTCAAGGTTAAACTGACAACTTCGTACACTATGATAATGTTATTTTCTTAAATAAAGAAGGAAACTATTTAATGTGTGTTCTTATATTTACTTACCGGGTAATTATACTATCAAAATACCCAGGTGCAACATGTATAGCAGGGTAATCTGTCTTTTCCCTATTTCATTCAATCTTATTGATAATATCACGAACGAACACGGAATGTAATAAACTATATCAACACCTGTGTTCATGCACATAAGTAGCGAAAAGTTGACTTAAAAAGGTAAAGCGAATATTTGTTGCAGTCCATGTAAAGCCTCTAGTAATAATCAGTATTTTTGACCTACCTTGACAAGATGAAAGGATCCAGTAGCAGCACGGGACCTAGAAAGAAGGGGAACAAACTCGTGGACCGGGATGCCGTTTGCCGAGAGTGTCTGTAGTATATCATTCTTCACCTAAAGCATTGGGAAAAATCACTAAATAAAACAGGACGGAAAAGGAACTTAACAAAACTTGACTCTCGTTTTTTTTTTTCTTTCGAAATGTTATAGGAAATCTAGCAAATTGCATGTTTACGGTCAAATATGCTGCCATATAAATAAGTTGCCAAAATACATTACCGAAAAAACTATTTGTCTAGTATATTCGTCAATAACTTGAGTCTCTGTCCATCCACCTGGAATTTGACCAACAGCACTGGCCAGTCCCAGTAAGAAAATTCCGAATGAAATCCAGCTCATGTTTTTTCTTGTCTTTCCTGGTGCACGATGGCAACGACGTTATATAGGCCCAAGTTTTGACAAAAGATTCCTTTTTACTGATTTCATTTAGTTTTCGAAAATGATGACAAAATTAACATATGTTGTTCAATTTCAAATGGACTACGTGATTTAATTCATTTTTGTTTCTGCCCTGTGGTCGCAGTGTTAAATGCGAAGTGAACATGCATACGTGTCAAACCATAATGCACTTGAAGATTGATGTTAATCACGAATAACAATATGCACACAGAGTTTTATTTCAACAAAATGTGCCGCCATTGTGCAGAGATATTTTAGAAAAATGTATAATTTGTACACACGTTTTGGGAATATTTTCATCTTTTTTTGTATTTATACAGACGCTGAATTTTAATGAGAATGACAAAAACTGTCTTAAAACGTTTCCATCGTAACGGCCATCTCATATATGCAAGAGCATGAACGCAGATTAAATCTACAAAAATACGTCATTTCTATTGTCATTTTTACACAACGCCTTCACAATACAACATTATAGCAAGACAGTTATAGGACAGAGTATACACTATTTACATATTTTCCGCGCAAAAAAGTTGGGTTAATGTTTCCAAATCCACTTTCTTAAGGTAAAAATTCAGATTGGACACTCAATGTGATCGTAAAGAGGTGCTCAGTATCAGATAGAGAACATTATTTAGTGTATATAATATATATGTATAATGTAAAACATGTATTTGACATCCTCACAACGTCAAGGGTCCTGAGTCAGCTCGTTCGTGGGACCCCTGACAAAATTTCATTCCGTTTTATTCAGGCTTGCTTCTCTTATTGAGATGGACCAATCAAATTGAAGTAGACAGATAATGTAAACAGAAGGGAATCAGTTGACAACTAAAATGCACGTGTTACGCATTGTTTATCATGAAAGTCTTGTGTGATTTGTTGAGAGATAAGATAAAAGATCAAGATTTGGTTTTCTTTTTTCGGAAAAAAGTCGCTGCATTCAGCCCATAGATATCGAATGAAATTTATGAGGGGTCCCAACGAGTGTTCCAGGTCCAGGTGGAAACGAGCTCGAGTTGATACAGAACACCTGAATTTGTGAGGATGGGTATTTGAGTCCTGCAACACTCCTGTTCTTTTAAAATAAAGTTACAAACTCAAGCTTTATAACTACATGTATCACAGTGGGGAAGTATTTTAAAGGAACATCGACAAGGTCAAATGGAAAGATAAGTTTTACATTTATTTGAATAAGAACGTGATGATAAAGCCTCTTAAGAATGTTACAAATTGAAATAAAATGTGGGTTTTTTTTTTGTCTTTTTACTTACTGCGTCCTTCAATTAGACATTTAGCTATATCGATGAAGACCACAGCACTTCATTCTCAATAAATTATGAAATGAGGAATATTTCATATCATTTTCGCATTACCTTCGGTTCATTTAAAAAATTTTTGACGATGGACCATTCAGATACTCTTTTTACTACTAATTCCAGGTAACCCTAGCTGAGCAGATAAAAAATATGCTGCGTCAGGTTCAACAATTTTTATTTGTTGAATCAGAATCTTGAACACTTATCAAATTAAATTGTTATCAACAATCAAAATTAACGCTACGAATATACTAAATTCCGAATTATGAATTCTTATCCGGAATAAGGGGAGGGGGGGGGGGCGTTTGGACTATAGAAGGAAAAATTTCCAATATTGGGGAATGGGGGTTGACTTTCCCCAGGGGAGACTTTACTATATAGAAGTGCATCCAGGAGGAATGTTTGCTATAGTATTATTGCAATTATTCCGAGAGGGAAGCTTTAATTACTATATAGTAAACTCTCCCCTGGGAAAAGATTTGCGGAATGTTTACAATACAGTACGGGTATCCCATTGGACTCGAAATAAAAGACACCTCGCAGTTTGACACATCTGCTTCGTACTTGGATATTTTACACAGAAATACATTGATGGCAAACTAACAACTAAACTTATAATAAATTTTATGACTTCAAATTTCTATCGTCAACTTCTCTCATTTGTGTAGCAATGTTATACCATTATCACATGCATGTGGGGCTTATGTCTCCCAAATGATTCGATACACAAACGCATTTCCTTCGTACAGACAATTTCTGAAACGAGACAACTTACTGACGAATAAGTTGAAGACACAGCAATATCTACAACCTCGTTTAAAGTCAACAATACGCAAATTCTATGGTCGATACATTGACCCTGTTTGCATACACAAACTGATATTGGGTCTACCCTAACAAAAGTTTACTATAGTTAACCATAGCTTTCCATAGTTATCTATTATAGTAAATACTTTTATTTACTATGAAACTTTTCTCTAGAACTTTTTTTTGAAGATTTAGAGCCTTAATATTTCTTAAATTATAATTATATCAATGATGTAAATTTTTGAAATAATATGCAAATATACAAGTAATGTTTTCTTTTAATATGAGGAAAATTGTTTATAGGGATTTAAAAGAATAAAATATAACGATCTGAAATTCATAGAAAAATACTTTGATTAACTACAGTAAAAACTTTGATATTATAGTAGACTATAGTTAACTATAGTTTACTATAGTATATTTTTGTTAGGGTAATGTTGGTTGACGTCTTCTGTACAGATTATTAGGCCATTATTTTCATATTTAATGGACTATTTTTTACATTTATCCGATCATGACAAAATACACATGGCGGTTGTGAAACGTCGACAGGAGATGCCTTCTACTGCATGACACCTGATCCCACCTCCGATATTTTCAGGGGTCTGTATTTCATCTACTAACAATTTGTATTGTTTTATTAGATTTTATTTTGCATGATTACTGTTTGTTATTTTCACATTTCATAATGATGTTATTACCAAGATAAACAGCATGCAAAACTAGATTACTACGATATTTTTAGACAAAAACGAATGTCTTCTCATTTTCAATAATACCCTGGTCATCACTACCATCAATACACGCCTTTGTTATAACTTTGACCTTTGTGAAATCTCCTTGATTCAAGCTGGCATTCCGTTTGGTCATCACCATCAACATACTGAAGTTTTAATTCATGCAAACCAAGGATTCAGAATTAAGACCTGAACATGATTTTTCAAATTAAATTTCATTGCCTAGTACCTGTTATCTTTGAGATATGAATCTGAATCAAGCTCACTTGTCTAGTGTAGCCCCTAGTATATATGAATACATACCAAGACTTACCATAATCGAACGACCAGGAGGTCTATATACAACAAACTTAAGTACTAAACTTGAGTTCCTCTTACTGACAAACAGACATGCAGTTACACAAATAAATGGACAAACAAACGATTATGTCTAAACCAATATAACTTACCATTAGGCGACATGGTGAAGTGAAGATGTGATTTAACTTCCACGAATTTGAAAAATTTAGTTGTGTTTGCTTATGATATATGAGAGCCTTAAACAAACAATAGAATAATTCAAATTTAAACTAGGGCGATAGAGAGGTTGAACTTTGATGCAATTTTTGCATACGCGGGAATAATTTATCGGTCACATACCGTTTTACGCAAAGAAAGTCAAGAAATTAAATGTGCGACCCCTTTATTATTGGACACCATCTTAAAATTGTTATGCCCCGGATTATCTAAAATGGCGATTCCATAACCCCTTGGGATACAAGCAGAATCATTTGCACAAAAAGACATTATATTGCATAATAAAAATGAATTTTTTCCACATAAAATAGTTTTAATTAATGTTTGTATGAAACATGGTTTTAGAGAAAAAAATGATTATGAAAAAAAATCAACCAAGCTGAAAACGAAAGGAGAAACTTTTTGTTTTGGTTTTTTGGTTACTCACTTTGATGCTTTTGTAATTGGACATATATAATTCCCATCCCAGTTGATGCCATCTGGATGAGAGTAGTCAAGTAAATTACTATAAAAATGATACGAAATTGGAAAGTACTTTGGAAAATTAACTAGAGAATAATGTTAATTGTCAATGAGTTCTTTACAAGTAAGCTTTCAATTCAACACGCGAAAGCTGCAATGATCTCATTTCAGAAACGATGGGTAAAATAAACCAATCATGTTGGTAGCATTAGTACTCCCCCCACTCCTTACTATATAATGTAATAAGTTTTGTTAATATTAAAACAATATCTTGAATGAGCTTATGAAGAATCGTTTTAAAAAATTAAAAAAAGATTTAATTAATCACATCATTTAAAAAAATAGAAGCTTGGTTGTTTTTGACAGTTGAGCTTGAAATAAATTATCTCACACTGCACTAAATTCTGGTATATGTATAAATTCAAAATATGTACATGTATTATTGTAGCTGCAATTGTAAGTGCATGCAAAGTGTTAAAATACGATTTTACCTCTGTAAGTCGAATGCTGACTGACGTTTTTTATTATAATAGTTAGGCTATCATTCAAACACTGAATTTTCTACGTATTTTTACGTTTGAAAGATCATGACAATGAGCACACGCGGGTGTGAACCGTCGACAGGGGATGCTAATACTAGTATTTGTATCAGTTACTGTGTAATGATTTGGTATTAGTCTATATTGTGTTTCTATCTCTTAAGTTACATTTTTAAAATAATAACAGTCATTGAAATTTGACTTATTTTAAAAGCACACATACTGTAACATAATGCCGATTATTCATATGTAGTAATATAATGAATTTTGTATGTGATTATTTTTTGTGTTTCTGTATGATAATTTTCGTATGTGATGTAAAAATTAATGAGTATTCCATCAACCTGAATTTTGTGATCTTCTGAACTGTATTGACACTTTCACTTGTGTTTCTAACCTTCAATTCAGTATTCTATTTAAGATGGAATTCAATACAATTAATTAGATTTTCAGGAGTTTCTTTTAAAGTGAATTTTAGATACTTTATATCACTAAATTTTCGCAACACCTTATTTTCGCGAGATACTCAATTACTCTTACTTAGCGAAACAAAATTTTCACGAATCGAGGTTATTGCTTTAAATAATTATTTATTCTAATATAATAAAATTTTCGCGAACACTCTATCTCACGTAATAACGCGAAAATAAAGTTCTAGCGAATAAAAAGTGATTTACAGTATTTAATTTTAACTGTTTTATATTTGTATTTTTATACCTGAAGAATAAAGAAAAAATCAAACACTTGACCTTCTTTAAGCAAACATGATATTTATTTCATTTTTAAATGTCTTTAATATTTAGATCAATTTGAGCCATGTCAAGATTTCTATGCCAATATATACAAAATTACCTGCAACTAGTTCTTTTTTCTTTCTTGTTTTGATTTTTCACATGTATTCAAGAGAATAGAGAAATAACACACATTTTTTATCTATAATTGGCAAGTGTTTCTTAAAATATTTTGCTTTGTCAAAGAGAGATTTTGTGACTCTGAATTCAATAACATTGGGACTAGATATAATTGATTGCATCCTCCGCAGTCTTTCCCAGTTCTAGACCAGTAAGAGAAACCTCGGTTTTCATAAAGTTGCTGTAAATTTTAACGTGGATGTAACTGTTAGCACCAATCTTGATCTGAAAGAATATAAAATTAACTAAAATGTATTATTACCTTTTTTCATTGGTCAGTCTACTCTAGATCTGCAAATTGTAAGTAAAGTAAAATGGATCCGTATAATACATATGTATTAAAAATATTATAGAAACATTTAGCAGGTCATTTATTAAGTAATTCAAAAAATCTTGATACATATATAAATATATTAAGGAAAGATGCTTTAGATCTTAAGTAACTGGTTATGTGTCGAACAACTCTGAAATACACTTTCTACAATGTAATAATTAAATCAATAAAATTAACAATAAGAAGACTTAAATTCCTCTGAGAAAATGAATGCCTACCTTGACAAAATAGTTGATTCCATTTACCAGCTGAGTTTTGTAGGAAATAGGCTCAAATATCGTCCCGTCATTGAGAGGAAGCTGTGCCACTATATCCCCTTTGACCTAGAAATTTAATAACGGAATCCTCAATACCGGTACATACTCGTCAAAAAGTGTAAACAAAATCAATCCACATTTTGTATTTTATTTTGTCAAGGTTTTGTAAAGTTGTGTAACAAGGAAGTCACTTTGTCACATTCAAGGATTTTTATATAAAAGCAACTTGTGCGGTCAGTATTGTCTGGATCTCCCCTTAGCTTGTTTTTGTTATCATTATATAGAATGATAATATTTGACTTATGTCATCTAATAAATGACAATATTCACACAATACATGTGTTATGTTATGTTTGGATGGTTGATCTGTATGATATGGAACTTTGTCAGATCAACAATATTTCATAAAAAAAGTTTTAAATAATTTTCGTCAATCTAATGCACATCACTCTTCCACTCTATTCATCATGGTATTAAACACAACAGAATGATTATTGATCTACACTGACACAACCCACAGGATTTGATAAACCATAATCAAAACATATTGACTATATGTAACCGGGAGTAAAGAAAAACTTATTTTAATAAGATGGTATAACAACTGTCGTAATTGAGTACTTACTCTGTCAACTAGATCCCTGATCTCTTGATCCACGGGTTGGGCATTTTGAGAAATACCCCCTACCCTACGGCCGCCTAGTGCCTCGGTAAACCCAAGTAAACACAAACAGAGTCCGAGTGTCAAGTACGCCATATTTGTCTTAATGTCCTGGTCGAATGAGAACAGCTGACAATTTATTTATATGCGCGTGGAGTATTACAAATGCACGTGATTCTTCATAACAAACTACGTCATCCACATAAAAAGCAATGCATCGTGAATAATAAAACAGTGGATGTTTTCATTGCGGCCACAGCTGTGTGCTGTTTGATAAGATGTTTACATTTGATTTACTGTAGGGATTTTGAAATAACCATGAATTAAAATACACCACACGTAGAATTTAACGGTGAAATGATTCTTTAAATTGATGACCACAATTAAGTAGATACTAATTAACTGGTTGGGACCAATTGACCAAATGGGATATAATTAATAACCCTTTTGGGATATAATATCCCAAATGGGATATAAATTTAGTGCAAAAAATGAAAAATTATTTGTCTGTAAGTATTGTAAATCCACATAGATATAAACTGAATTCAATAACTTTTAGCGAGCAAGTTTTTTTTTTATAACCCTACAGTTTGTGAGATTGATCCCCAGGGAATTTAGGATCAATCTCCTAAATAGTTGGGATATAGACAAACTTGTGAACCAAAAGTTATTACTCATTAGGTATTTTGGTGCATTTTTTAAATATTTATAGCTAAGTCAAGAGTCATAATTTTTTACACTGTAAATTTATATCCCATCCTGGACATAATATCCAAAATGGGCTATTATATATATCCCATTTTGGCGATTGGTTGCAGCCTGCTAAAGGGGATATATTTTACGTATTTTTGCAGACATACTATAACTAGTATGTTTGTGATCTTTTATGTTTTATTACCTGAGTTGAATGTTCAAGTGAGATTGTTTATTCCTTGGTCTTCTATTAATTTTTCACAGTATCGATTTTTTAAAGTCAAAATCACTTTATTAGCATCACTTAAGAAAATCTTGCTCACTTTGACTTATTATATCAAGACTTTACAGTGACACTGTCCATGACTTTGCATATATTTCGAAATTGAGAAAAAAATACTTGACATCGAAGTGTATATTTCCTTCTAAACCAAAGTGTAAATTATTCTTAAAAAATTAATATGCAGTTTGAGAGCTTTAGTCATGTATAGAAGTAAAATAATACATCGCTTAGAGACCCCCCCCCCCATATTTTATGCATTCACCTTTTCTTCGAATTAGGTATTCGATGTCACTTGACTTTTTATATTACCACTTATACGAGCCTGGTCTCGGATAGGTGAGTTTATTTCAGTAACCCTAGTAATATTTATCTATTCCGGATAAGTTACGTACATTCGGATAAATATAAATTTTCACCCTTAGTCACAAGCTATCATTCCGGATAATTTAATAGGTCCATTTGTATATAGTCTAATAATAAGTTCTTTTCTACCTCCTTTCTAGAAGAATCGATTAAACGGTAAGGTCATGGAAAATTTTTGGGAGTTAAATTGTGGCAATGTTTTAAATTTTTTAAATCAAATAAGTTTGATTTTTAGTATAACTATTGAGGTTTGTAGATTCAAAGCAAATTAGACGTATCGATGGCGAAGTTTGACTTTGGATTTGTCCTGATTGGATTTTTTCTAGGGATGTCAAAATATTTATTTTCCTTAGTCGATTATTCGATTCCATTATTCGAACAATAGTCGATTATTCGGAACATTCGGAACATTTTCTGAAAATAAAATTTTATTTCAGACTTTACTGGTACATGACGTATTTATAACTCAAAAACCCTTTTACTTGAATATGTTTAAAAAGTAACATAAGAATTAATGCAACGTAACGTTTGATAGCATGATTATATGAAATAAATATAGAAATCTAATTCTCCAAAATTTATGATTTCCCCATCAATCGAATTCATAAATTGGTCTGTACATGCAGAGTGCATGAGCATTCAAAAATTGCTTCTTCTTTTTTTAATTTTTTTTAAAGCTTATTATGAAATAAATTGGGGGGAGGGGGGAAGGTAATTTCCAAACGCCAGGTGGTTGTTAAATTATTAAACAGTTAATAACTACTTATTCATTAATTGATTGCTTTGGCTATCAGAATGTCCTAAATTATAAACCGTTTAAAAATGCAATTAAGTGAATTGTTTTAATAATTAGCGTCAAAACATGTCACAGCTATATGGTTTGTTCCTTGCATTTGAGCAATCTTAAAATAAAAGATAATTGGTACATCGTATAAAATCCAATTAATTGTTTTACAAACAAAGCCCAGTAAATATATTGATGGTTGATTTATTACAAAAACAACACAAGCAGTAACTGATAGATAATTCTAGCGGTAGTGAAGCATTTATAATTACTGTACTTTCTATACACACACAGAAAATCAAGTTTTTTGTAGAGGAAAATTATCTTATCAACTGTCTCCGAGGAAAGACGGTTTCTCAATTTTGTAATGAGAATTCCTTATCGTTATCACTCTTTAATTGCATTTTAAAATTATAATATTCGAATGTCGTTTCATTATTCGATCGTCGGTCCATTCGACTGACAGTCGAATAGTCGACTATTCGTTGACATCCCTAATTTTTTCGTAAATTGAATTGATTTTACGCGATATTGTAATTTGTGAGACTTTACAGGTAACAGGAATATATTAAGATCAGTTTGGGGGTCAAATGATTGTTTAATTTGAGTTATTATTTTTAGGAGCGAAATGTTAAACTTCGAGTCCATCATAGCTATAACGGGGGGGGGGGGGATAATTTCATAAAACACGGAATATTCTCAGAAGCTGGGCTTACTAGAAGGATTTTAGTTTGTTTTCTACATAGATTTATCGTGCTCGAAGGAGGTATATTGATTCGCATTTTACGAAATGTAATCGTCGTTAAATCGGAGAAAGCATTCACGAGAATTTGTGCACTTTCACTTTTTAAGTAATCAAAGTACTGTGTGTACTGAGAGGAGGTTTATTAAATTGTGTAAGTGTTATGCTCTATTCGCAGACTTGTATCATTTCATTTGTTTGTTAGTCTTTTGAAAAGGTTTGGAACAGTACTGTTTGTTATCTTTTCCTATTTTTTTTTTTTTTTAAGAAAACAAAAAGGTGTAAGGTTTTATGGTTGATATTGTATGAACTGATTTTCCTATTACATAATGGGATGGGAGTTAATTTGTATATTATGTTACACAACATATGGGAGCTCATTTGGTCCACATGGTCAATTTCTGCATAAAAATCCAACTAATGAAAGCAAAATCACAGTTTATTGAAATAGGATGTAAACATTTCTTATTAATTTTGCAAGCATTTGTCCCACAGTGAGCAGTCAAACTGCAGCAAAGCTGTGGAAAAGTATTCTTCATATGCATTAGAATAGGTAGGCAAATTTGCAGGGTTCAGGCACAAGCAAGGAGCAAATTATATTGGTACAAAAGGCAGTAAGTACATAAAAAACCTTAAGTAATTGATTGATAGTGATTACAGATGTATGTTACCATGATTATTTATTTTCAGGTACATTACCAAAAACAGGTCAACATTTTTAATTTTATTTTTTTAAGACAGCTTTATCAGTGAGTCAACAGCTGCAATGGGCACAACATTCCTTTCCATCAAAGCATGACCTTATCACTTCCCCAGTAATTCATTAGAATAGTAATTAAAGATTTGCAAAAAAGAAACAAGTACGAAATGTTGCAGTTGTGCTAATACTAGATATAAAAGTGGAATTGGCAAATGATATAGATCCTAATCCAGCTTCAATTAATCGCAGCTATTAGATTACATTCTAGGGAAAAGTATAATTTGGTTAAGCGAGTCTTTGTGTGAAGGGGGGGGGGGCATATTTCAAATAAACTGGTAATTTTTTAAAAAAGATGGTCAAAATCAAATTAGTTCCTCGTCTCCGCCGGATGACTGAGTTCTGATATTTAGTTAAGCTATTAGAGCACTGTGATAGGCAGATTAATAAAAGTGATTGGTCAGGAGTCTCACTAGGATAAGCAGCACCCAGTACTTGCTTCGTATGTTGCTTATCAGGCTATCTTTGAATGGATAGTCTGCTAATGTGTTCGACGAGACGGGGAAACAAAGCTTGTCAAATAATCAGTTAAATTATATATGAATCAATTATTATTATTATTTAAAGATTTAATAGGTTGATATGAAATTGCAATATTGAATTTACTAGTACATAAGAAAAGTCAAAACCAAGGAGTTAATAATGTCTTGTCAAAACAATATTGATCCATTTATTTAAGGTACACTGACATTCAATTTTAAGCTAATCTGGTAAGGGATATCCAAGATATGTCCAGAAGTATGCCTTATAAAGTATACCAGTTTTTTTCCACCTCACATACCCATGGACAAAGAGTTGCAACGTACTCAAGAATTTGTTATCTCGGATATTTTATTGTGTTTATCTATTTTATTGCGCACCTATGTCAGTGTCTAATGGGGATTTAAGCCTTGAGACTAATTTTATCATTCTGTTTAATTATTACCAAATACATGTATAATTGTATGTAATACACAATGGTCCACGATTATACCTAAATTTCCCAGAGATAAAACTACTTCCTTACAGATATTTTTTGAATATTCAGAACACTTAGTATCGCAATTACCTCGAATTGTATAGCTTACTGCGGCTGTTTTGCAATAAAGTCAAGAAACTTATAAATCTCCATTCATTTTCGGGGCATAACATGTTGTTTACATATATTGTTTACGCTAGTGACAATTGAATGATACGAACAATAAGTATGCCGAAGGTACAATGCAATGCCGATGGTTGCACTTCAGAAAGCAAGTCAAAGTATTCGGAATATTTAGACTTCCAAAATAACGTTTATCAGAAAGAAAATGATTAAACTTATTATTAGAATAGTCTACTTAGCGGGAAATATCCACAAAAAATTAACACAAGAGAGCTAGCATTTTAATTTCATAGCGTGGTGCAACGAACATTTAGCTAGGTATTTCACCAGGGCTTCTTTCTTATATATGTCCCTTAAAAATCTGCAGTGATCGATCTCATAGTGTAGTCAATAGCTATAGCACATTGTCCTCAGCTATTAATCAACGTTTCCTACCTT